TGTATTTCCATACAGTGCCTAAAAATAAAATGTAAGAGTGCAAACAAGCCAGGAAAGTGTAGAATCATGGATAAAAGGGTCAGCAGTACAATCAACAGAGCACACGGGAGTGATCAGATGCTGATTGGACTTAGGGAAAAGGAGTTGTCAATGTTGATCATTGATCAACAGGTCAATGTTGGAGGCACAAAGAGAGGTGCATCCAGGGTAGAGCAGGTAAAGGATCAATCAGAAAGCAAGGAACTCGAGATCACAAGGAAGAATATCTGTGAGACTCCAGTTCCCAAAGAAGGAAGAGCACTAGTTCCATTTTAGAAAAGGATTTGCTGGTAAGGTTTCTAGGCATATGATTTAAGCAATGAATTTTGGCAAGTTTTTTTTTTTTTAGATGGATCTCATTTTTCTTTCAACAGTTCTACACATAAAAAAAAATTAAAATCAGAAAAGCCCACTTAGACAATACATGTCTTTTAGGCATACATGTATTGCACACAGTGCTGGGTCTGATTCTTTCAAGTATATCATACACTATAGGCATTTTACTTCCCATATCTTCCCTCTTTTCTCCCACTTGACCTGAACTCCTTCTAGTTTTCTTATTTTCCCCAGGCTTTTCATTTTCTCTTCTCATATATATATATATATATATATATATATATATATATATGTGTGTGTGTGTGTGTGTGTGTGTGTGTGTGTGTGTGTGTGTGTATACATATTTGTGTATGTGTATATTTATGTGTGAGTCTTCTCTCTCTATTGGATCATCGACCAATAGGATCCACAAAGGTAATGAGAGCAGGGGCAATGGAGTGGGAGTGTCAGAAGTCCTGTGAGTGTGTACTATCAATGACCATAGCAGGACCAGCTATCAGGAGGAAGATCAACTTTACTTAGGTTGATTTAAGACTTGTAAAGTTATGGGGGGACTGAAGGTAGAAACATCCAGGATGAACAAAGATCATTGGCTGAGGGCTTAGGGTACCCGAAATGCCTCATTAGCATGGGACAGCATTTCAGGAATCGCAGGTGCTAGCTGAACAGGTTTCTATCAGGAGAAAGGGACTCAATCCTGTAATCTAACTAATGCTTTGGGACATTCCTCAGGTAGAGGAAGGTATGCGGCTTAGAATTCCTCTGAAAAGGTCAGAAAGGAGAAACCCAGCTAATGAAGGGAGTGTTCCATATTGCAAGAGCCCAGAGTCTATCCAGTCATGGTGGACATCAACCTTCATTAGCAGAGTTTTTTCACATTTATGTAGGAAACCTAGAGTCACAATTGAGAGAATACCCAGCCCCTTTCTTCCTGACGGACAGGATCCAAAATTTCACACGTTTTCCTGCAAATAACATAGTTATTTTTATGGATAAATAAAATTCCATTTTGCAATATATCATATCTTTTTCCACTCAATTGTTCCAACCAACCTGGACTGATTTCATGACCTGGGGACTACGGGTAGTGCTGCAGTATACATCCCTGTGCTATCTGTCTTTTGTGAAAACAAACAAAAAAAATAATTGAGGAAAATGCTTCTTCATTCAGCTCCTGGAAGCCCTGCCCAACAGGAGTCATTTATCCATGAGAGATCTCCATAGGAATTCTCACTGTGAGAAAATGACAGGGTTATTTATTTAGTCCAAATGAAAATCTCTATCTCCATAAAATAGTCTCCTTATCTACTACACTAAATTTCACAGAATGCCTACAAACAAAAGTGGCTTCTACTCTGTAGATAGGAACGTACAGTTTTAATCCTGAAAATATTTATATGACCTAGACAATCACAAAACTTGGTCTTACACAACAAGTACAAACCGAACTTATTCTGCTTCAATGCAAAATGATACCAAGGCTTGTTTGCATTCCTGTAGAAGAAATTGCTAGTTGTCTATATAATATCAATTAGCTTATACAGAATTAGAAGCTTCGTTTCACCTTACGGTGGTCAGAAGCCTGCAGACAACTGCCCTGTCCAACTATCTTGCAGCTAATTATGGGCAAATGAATATTTTTGGATAATGAAGATGGGCTAGACTGACCCTGACCAAAGCTCTTAAGATAGCTGTGCTTTAGGGTCCTTATTCCAATCTCTCTCTCTCCCCTTCCCTCTTTCCCTTTTGCCATTTCTCTTTAATCTCCCTTTACCTTCTCTTCCCATAGACCTTTTCTCCCTATACTTTTATTACTGAAACAGCAAGAGCTCCAGCAGCCATCTTGGAATGTAATAAAGTTCTTAAGAGATATACATTCTCACTCTATGAGAGTCTCCCAAAGCCATAGGCCAATACCCATTGTCCATTAAATATTATTGGTATACTCTCATTCTCTTTCAACATTAAATGCCATTTCCTTTATCCTCCATCTCAAAGACACATCACAAAGCACAGTCTATGCCCAGGCAACCAGAATGGATCACTCTGTGGCCCACATAGGGCAGCATTCAGCCTACATAACATCACCTTGTCATCTCCATTTGTTAGAAAACTCAAGGATGGAGTTACAGTTTTTGCATTTCTTTATCTGTCAGCCCCATGTTTGCTGTCTCTCTATCTGCATATGGACAGGGTTTTGTTTTTGTATTTATTTGGTTTGGTAAACATTATTTAAAGGAACAAATACATATGGTTGTGTAAAGTTGTGAATGCATGAAAGGGCTCCGAATCTTTGAAGTATAAAACTAAGTTATACCAAAAAAGATAGATGCATTTTGAAGATTGTTTGAAAATAAATGTAAATTATCCCTCTCTGGGGTTTAGGTGAGTAAATGTGTAATTAAGAAACACTCAAGATATTCTCATGAACACTAATAGATGCATGTGTTTTTGAAATATTTTAAATGGTCGTGTTATTTTTCAATTTAATATTCAATAAACAAACCAAACTATAACCTTAAGCCATCAAGTATTAATGTGCCTTTCACTGAATACTTAAAATTATTTTGTATGTGGACTTTAATATAGGATTAGTGAAGCTAAGGAATATAGTAAGGGCAACATTTCTGGAATTACCATCTCTGCCCTATAAAGTTTCTACTCAGGATGAATTCCAGAGAAGATAGTTTGTTTAAAAGTCTCAGTTGTGTGACCTTCAGCTCAAAAGTCTTAAGACAAGTGTTTAACTGCAAAGGCATAAAATATCCACATGACTTCTAAAGGTAATGGCATTTTCAACATTAGCATAAGATTTGACCTTTGTGTCCAGTCTTCTGGGATGTGCCACTTTAGCATGTTGGGTTTCTTTTTCTTCCTGCTTATTGTTCAAAGGCATACCTTGAAGCACAAACTTCAAGAATACAACACTTCAAAGACAGAAAAGAACCCCTAAGAGCAGGACATCGCAGAGCAAAACTCAATTAAATTTTAACCTTTCAAACTGTAAAAGATGTGGAGTTGCTCCATTTCCTCCTTACCCAAATTAAATTGGATCCCCAAAGACACAAATAAAGATGCAAAGAAGACACTGGCACAAACACAATGACTTTCAAGAGCCAGGTTAAATTATAACACATCTCATTTATTCACTACAGTATAAATATATTCATGTTTCCCAATTTGGTATTTATTGATTCAACAATGGAAAAGGAATGGAATATATCAGAATAGGAAAAAAGGAAAATCATAAAGTCTTCAGTTGAAATTTCTTCACCAAAAAACTGTAATTTGTGAGATTGATATATGAAAATCAGAACCAGTGATATAAAAGTTTGCCTATGATTGATTAATCATTACAACGAAAGTATCTCAGATATAAAGGATATCCAGAAAAGACAGATTTAAGGAAGTCCTGGTACAGAAAAAATAATGGCACAATAGAGTTCTTTCTGCATAGCAAAGCTATTATTGCCCAATGCTAATGCTGGCTAAGGCCAACTCTGCAAGGAAATCAATGTGATCCAGCATCAAGATTTAGGAAAACGCTGTTAAAAAATGTTCAGCAGTGTCTGACTGGAAATTCTGTTCAGTAGTAGACTCATTGATTTTACACATTTTATTAACTGTAAGGTGTTATTTATTATTTTAATAAACCCTACGGAGAAAGCCCTATCATTGAGGGCAGCAATTCTGAGAGTGACATTTTTTTAGAGAACTTATGAAAAATACTTAAAAGCTCAGTGTTCAGTTACTATTTGCTGTGTATAATCCTTCTAGACCTAGACTTTCCCAGGGGCCATTGGCTCGCAACACTGTAACATGTAAACATGCACTATTTAGTTGTATGCAATTGTGCATGTTTAAGCCCAGAGTTTTGGCCACAGCCCAGGGATTTGAGATTCTCTTCCTTAGGGACTGTGCCTGAGAGCATGAGTTTCCACAAGGCTCTAGGTGAGGCTAATGCAACGAGAAACCCTCAACAGTTCAAAATAACTGGCTTAGAATTTTAAAACAACAATTAGTCATCCAAATTAACAACACAACCTACTTTTATTTCCTTCTATAACCATATAAAATTAGTCTGTAGGATTCTAAGAGTGCTATAAATGACAAACGTCTTCAATTTTGCAGATGGATTGGCATAAGCAGGAACGCATATGGCAATTTCTTTATATCACACCATACTGTCACTTAGTTTTTGGGAAAGTTTGCATTTAAATTGCCAGGCATTTGTTTAAAGATGTGAAAAATAGAAATGATTCTTAAACTGCTTCCTACTCCAAGTTGTTAGGGACTTGGTTTATTTAAAAAGGAAGATGCAGTGTATTGCTTGGGTGACCTAGGGTGGTCTTCTTCGTTACTGCACTTCTTAGTTTGGACTCTCATCAGGACATTGCTGTGTCTGTCACAGATAATCTGTCACCCACTTGGCTTGGCAATCACCAGAAAAAAAATCTCACGGAGTCTATATTGAAGAGGGATCTTTTCGTTTGTGGGTTATTAATAAGCATAGAGTAATAAAGGAAAGAGTAGATGTCTGGCAGAGCATTTCTTCCAGTATTTCAGCTGTGCCTGTGTCTGGTCTTAGACGGGCTGTCAAGAAGACAAGTTTACTCCTCTGGAGCCTAGATGTGTGAGTGGCTCAGATGCAAGGCATCAGTGGACGACGGATCAACAGGAAAGTGTGGAGTTTGGAACTGCTCAGTGGCAAAATTAACAAAGACCTTAAAGAAAAAAAAATGAAATAGTTACTAACTCATTTGGTATTGACTATTATAAAGGAGACATTGTCTCAAACACTGTCCAAACAGGCACAAAGAGCTAAAGGTCAACCTAGTCTTCTGTGAGACTGTGTATCCTAGATGTGGCAGGCAAGTTACATTCATGAAATCTCAACAATACTGTAGCCTAAAGAAGACCTGAAGTGTGACAAGCCCAACTGACATGTCAACATAAATGTGGAACTCTCACATGGTCCCACTCCTAGATGAAGCACTAAAGGAAATTAATGACTACTGAGAGGGTACAATCAGTCTGTCCCAGAAACTCTTAAAGGGATGGTGGCTATCAAGTGTTCAGCTCTAAAACCATAGACATAAAAAGAAAACTTCATGGACTCAGCAGAAGACAGACAGACAGACACACACACATACACACACACATACACATATGTATACATATACATATACTATATATATTATGTATATGCATATGTAATGATAAAAATGTGCTTGAGAGAAAACAGAAAGAAGCACATGGGAGTGGTTGGAGGAAAAATGAAGGAAGGAGGTAATTATATTTTAATTACAAATAAAATCATTTTTAGAAAGGAAGACATCATGCCTTTATGCCACACTTTCCTTTATCAACACACACACATACATACACACACACACACACACAGAGAGAGAGAGAGAGAGAGAGAGAGAGAGAGAGAGAGAGAGAGAGACAGAGACAGAGAGAGAGAGAGAGAGAGAGAGAGAGAGAGAGAGAGAGAGAGAGAGAGAGATCCACTGAACAGTCAACTCTCAGAATAACAGTCAGCTCTCAGAATAAGGACTAAAAAGGTACCTGGAAAATCTTAATATTTCAATATCTCAAAGTTTCAATAAATTTACATTCTGATATTCTTAGTAAACATTTTATTTTCCTCATAGTCAGCTATTATTCTACTACTGTAGAACTGAATCCATCATTTGGCAGTGAATAGTTAGAAAGGGAAAGTTTAACCAAAGGGACTGTCCAGCACCATCATGAGCAAATTAAAGCTCTGTACACTGAACAAAGCACATGAGACAGGCTTCCTAACTTTCGCCATCTTTACTAGACATTTGGAAAATTGATTTAGGTTAACTAAAAGAGATGGTGTGCTAAAGAAACAATCTAATTTTAATGTCTGATGAAAAAAGTCTAACAATTATATAAATATAATTATATGCAAATAATTATACAGAATAATAATATGCAGTGCTGTTTGAGGTGGGGTACCTGTTCCAGAGTGGTTTGACTGATGGAGTAATGCTCGATATTCAGGAGACCCTTGCTGTTTTCTAGAACTTGGAACAGATCAGCTAGACACTCCCAATTCTTTTGTATGTGATATTCTAATAAATTAAGGCGCAGTCCCTGAAAGTCAGAAAATATGAGAAATGAACATTAGAAATCACTGAGCAAAGTTAATTACCCTACATTTTGTTGAAAATAAATTCAAATGGGCTTTTTCAGCTGCACAATGTAAAGTGTATAGGTTAATGTTAGGAGTCACCAATGCCTATTGCTATAGTTCACCCCAAGACACACTAGACCAGTAGCATTCACTTGGATTCAGTTTATGCCTTGCCCCACTTTGTCCCACAGTGTCATAAGCACTAGGAGAAGTTTTAATGATTACTGACTGTCTACAGATGCTCCAGAAAAGGGAGTGAATACAGCATAATGTAAATACCTCAGGGTTCCCCGAACATCACAAGCATCAAGGGATTTGTAGGTCTCTGATGTCTTCTTTACTAGCCGAACAACTCTTGGTAAGAAATTTACTCACTCTGATTCTCATTTTTATGCTTTTTCAAGGAGATAATTTAGAGTAGTAACGGAATTCAAATGATAGTGTCTCACGGGTTATTTGTTAAAATGAATAAAGAATGGCTACTTAATGCCTATGACCTGTTAGAAGGTATGATACATAAGAGTAACAGTTATCTAAAAGAAACATAAACCAGGCTGAGGAGATGGCTGCATGGTTAAGGGCACTGGCTACTCTTCCAGGAGACTGGACTCAACTCCTAGCACACATATTGGAGCTCACAATGGTCTGCAACTCAGTTCCATGGGATCCAATGCCCTCTTCTGGCCTCCAGAAATTACAGGGGGAAGGGGGGACTGCATGTACCTGGTACACAGACATTCACGTAGGAAAACAACCATGCCTATAAAATAATAATAAAAAACCCTCAAAATTATATGCAAATTTGGTGCCCACATCTGTAAGCCTAGCACTTCAGGGGCAGAAGTAGGATATTTGGTCTAAATTCAAACCTACCCTTAGCTGGATAGTGAGCTTCAAGCTGATCAGGCTACACAGCAAGAGTGTGCAAAACAAACAAACTAGAAAGGAAATAACTGTACTCAGTGCTTCTAAAACTTCAATGTGTAAAAGAGCAACCTAGTTACCTTGTCAAAAGGCCAATTCATATCGAGTGGGTCCAAGCCTGCCTTTCTGTCTCCCTAAAGGATATCACCTATTGAAGATGTTTCTGGCCCATGAACCATATTTGTTCACATCAACTTCACAGATTATGGTTCCAAGCATATGACTGTTTTCATTAAAAAATTTAAAAATGTCCAAGCTTATATAATATTAAAAATAACAAGCTTATAAACCCCATAACAAATACATAGAAGAAACTGTTCTCTGCAGCTCTCCATCCAGATGAAATGAACTACACAATGGAGCTGCGAGTGAGTTGAGAGGGGGGCATGTGAAATTAGTCTCCTCTGGACTGTCCCACAAGTGACCAGGCATTCCTGCCGTCTACTAAAGTGGTCAAGCAATGTCTGCAATCCAAGATTTTTTTTCATAGGGAAACATGGCCAATAATTCATGAAGAGGCAAAATACAGCAGGTTCTGTCTTTTGGCAGTGTGGAATAAAAGAGAAAAAATGACTAATACATGTATAATATTCTTTTGGCTAAAAATGGTAACACAGGCTATTAGGATTATCTCTCTGCATAGCTGTTTTATTCCCCTTGAAACATCCACTCCTGTAGGAAGGATGAACTCATAGGACAAGAAACTTAGGAAACTCAGAGGCTCAGGGAACAGAAAGATATAAAAATCCATAAATGCCCTCCTGCAGGTTATAAAATAATAGCAGGAGGGAGGGAACTCTCTCTACTGGAGATGCTTGCAAGCAGTGAAGAAAATATCAGGGGTGCAGTTTGAGGAACTAGTCACTCCTCCTGGAGCTGGTTATTCAGTGATATCATTGCCTTTGAGTAACTCACACTCTTGTAAGTAACCCAAATAACACACCACTGGATCACTAAGCTAACCCCAAGTGGTATCCTTTTGTGAGCTTGTCATAAATACCTTATTTCGGGCGAATATATACCTATTCATGAATTTTCTGAAAAAGTCACACAACCTACCTTAAACTGGATTCCTGGGAAATGGAGCTTCAAGTAGTCAGAAACTGCACTAGGCTGACTTCCTTCCTTGTGGAGCCAAACTTTGACTGTGTAACCATCACCAAACCTGAGTCAAATAAAAATATGGATAGCATTACACATGTGTTATATATTGACTTACAGTGAGGGTGTTACACAGCAATTTGTATAGATTTAAAGGAAGTTAGTGACTTTTTAAAATCACTGGGGTATTTGGATTTTCAAATATATAGTGTGAAGAAGTCAACTTTAAGTCCCTAACACAGTTGCTGTCATCACTTACATCAACAGGGACAATGGCTTAACTTAGAAATAATCAGCAAATCCAGAAACTGGTACATAGTCCATAAAAGAGCTCAGGTGAAAATGCAAGTTGTAAATGTGGAATGCTGAGTTAGAGGAAGCCAGAGGTTGCCCTGGAGACTAGCCTGGGAAGCACATTTCCAGGTTTGTTGCTTCAAGGCCTGCAATAATTAAAATGTGACTGGGAAAAGATGAAAAGGAATACGTAAGTGACTGAAGGGCTTGTCTGTCTGTTGTGTAAAAACATTTTCTAGGTTTAAGTCAGCCTCGGTGGGTGGGGAATCTCTTAACGGCCCCAGTAGCCCACATCCTTAGAGGTACTGTACCTAGCACTGCTGCGTAGATTGCTTCATTGTTATCTCAGCAGCATCACTAAGTGCAGAATCACACTAATCTCACACAGTAATCTTCAAGAAGGTAGCAGGCTTTCAAAACCTTTGTGTTTTTAATAACTATTTTTAAGTCTCAGAGAATTTCCTCCCTGTATTTTGATCATATTAACTCCCATAACTCTGCTCAATTCCTCCCACGTTCCTACCCATGCCACCTTCTTCACGTTCCTAGTAACCCATTGAATCCAATTTATGTTGGCCAATATAGTCCTGGCTGTGCAGCCAGATGCTAGCGTTTGGTCTAAAAGAATACTGACTTTCTCTCCTCCAGAATCCATCATTTGTCCATAGATCTTCATTTAGGGTAGATGCTCAAACACTCATTTCTCCTCCACGATAAAATGTTAACTGGATTGGCCTTGTGCAAGTCTTGTGAAGGCAATAACAGGTTCTGTGAGGTCATGGCTACAGTGGTCTAGTCATGTTCAGAAGATGCTCCAGTCTTTTTTCCCTTTTATGATGGTTCCCAAGCTTTGGGTAGGTTGATGATACAGATGACCCGTTTGTGGCTGAGCACTCGACTGATACATATTCTTGGCACTTTAAGGAGTTGTGTGTTTCTTCATTAGCCACTGCTCACTGCACAAAAGTTTTGTGAGTTCTGAGAGACACACTAATCCAAGAGAGAGAGACCTACTTAGAAGGCAGTTTGGTAGCAAGCCATTTAGGAATATACTAGTCATTGGTTGCCCCCAGAGACAGTGAGCTTCCCTAATCGTGGTTCCTTAGAGCATAGAACCAGGGCCACGTTTGGTTTTTTGTTTTGTTTTGTTTTGTGGAGGAGACTATACAAGAAAGTAGTTGGTTGGTCTTATAACATTCATGCCATTATTTGCACCTCTGAAGATATCTTGCCTCAGTGGTCATTATTATAGTTCACAGGGTTCATCACTTGGTACCGCTATTGATGACTTTTTTCCTCAGCAGCCTGTACAGCACTTTTCAGTGCTCTGAAATCTAGCCAGGAGGGAGCAAGCTTCCTGGTCAGCACCAGCTTTATTTTTCTGTAACACATGACCAATATGTGTGGTGTTTTCAGGAACAGGGACTTAAGCATAAAATTCTGATGGTCAAGCAAAAGCAATAGTCTGCATTGTTTGGGGGGAGAGGGTACTCTATCTTGTACTATAGTTCATTCCATGGTGGTTGGAATAAAAGTGTCTTGGTAGCATTCTGATCAATAAAAGCCAGAGACACAGATAAGCCATGATCATATAAGATTCTGTTATTATTATTAATGTGTGGGGAGTGTGAGAGTGAGGGGCAGATGCCATGTCTCAGTTGGAGAGTCAGTTTTGTGGTAACTTCTCTCCTTCCACTTTTATGTGGGTTCTATGGGACCAAACAGGTTGGCGGGTTTGTACAGCACCTTTACCCACTGAGCTATCTTGACAGCCTGATTATTGAAATGTTTATCTGTTTGTATGTAGTGGTCTATCGGTTTCAGATATAGAATATGGTATCCAGTGCTATCTAGCACAGAACTTCATGCTACAAACAATTAAATTAGCCTAAAAATGAAAAACATGGTATGTTCAACTCGTATAATCATCATTTACTTATAAGGCATCACTAGATAAAAATGTGCATTTATTTAGATTTACCTAGGTAAAACTGACCATAGTACTTTTATACCTTGATAAGTTGTAAAAGTCTGTGTGAGAAGGACAGGTTGCTTAAGATTACAAGAACTTGTTAAAATACAGATAAGCCTTGCGAACTGTAGAGTAATTGGGGAGGCTTTTCTATCGCCCCTTTATCTCCCAAACAAATGACATGGAAACCTACTATATTTATTAAAAGCTTCAAACACTAAGTTAGGCAGGTTCTGAGGTGTTCTAACCCAGTTTTCCCAGCCTAATTTCCAGCCACATGACCCTGTCATCTTGGTCTTGTTCACCATCTGTGTCTTCATGGAATCACCTGGCAACCTGCTCATGTTGAATTTCTCCTGGTGTATCTCTTACATTCTTGTTCCCAACAGAGACCCCTCTCACTGTGTCCAGAATTCCTACCTTCTCTCTCCTGCCTAGCTATTGGATGAATCTTTAGTAACCAATCAGAGGTAATGGAAAATAATGTGTTATAAAATACTGAGTCAGAAAATATTTTATAATAAAGGCAACAACAAAATCTGAACTCTACTCATATCTCCCAGAAATCAGAATCTGAACTCATACTGCACAATACCATCTCCCAACAATGAACATCATCTGAGATGTGTGTTCAGCATTCTTTCCTATCTTCTGCCTTTGTTTCATATATACATTGTTAATGTGACAGGATCTATCTGTAACCATATAACTAGGTATTTGTGTGCTTTCTCTAAGAATGGAGTAGGCAGACATAAAACAGTATAAATTAGATCTACTAATTATTGCCAGTTCAGGATTGATAATCTTTAAGGGTAAAACAGATTGCTATGTGGGATTAAAATGAAACAAATCTGAATCCTTGACAACAGCAGAATGATGACCTAAAGCCATTATAGCCACTGTAGTTGTGAATGTAAGTGCAGAATTTTGGTGACTAAGATAGGAATAATTTTCTCTGCCAAAAATCAATGGGAGGCTGCTCCTGAAGCAGAAAACCCAGACACAGGGAACTAGGAAGTCTTTTTAGGTCTCCAGGAATCTTGTGGCAGCAGCTTCAGGAGGCCATACCCTGTTGGAGCTAAGAGTGGAAGAAAGAGGCTGAGCTGCTGATCTACACACACAGACTGACAACTCTGTCTTCACCAAAACTCCAGGATGAGTGGACATTTCAATTCTTTAAGCAAGAAAGATATAAGCACAAATGCTTGAAAGGATTTCCCAAGGTCAAAAGATGGGTCACCGAAACTTGAAGCATCTCTATGAAATAGGCTACCAGCTATGACTGGGCATAGCATTGATTCCTAGTAGGGGTATGCTGAGTGGCAATATTTTTTTAGATATTCTGATACCATAATGAAGAGTTTGTGACAACGATGCTGGATCCTAACTGACTGCATTCCTCCCACAAAATGCATGACCTTAAAAAACTGGGTAAGTCTTTTAAGCTCAGCTTTCACATCTAGAGATGGGTCTAAGAAGAGACTCTGCCTAATAAGGTTGTTGGAGGACAGAATTAATTCTTCCTTATGAATCATTTGGAACTGCTTTTGGCACTATGTAAATAAGTAAATAAATAAAGAGTGTCATTTCAGCTCTGCTGGATTTCACCAGAATGAAACATCATTCTATTTGATATTGAGAAACCCATAATTTACTTGGGAAAGTTCTTTGAATGCAGACAAGACAATGCAAACACAGATTGTATGCTGGTGGGGGGTGGTGAAGGGAAAGGAGACCTCATGGCCAGTATCATCACTAATATAGTTTTCAGCCTTTCTAGGAATATTTTGTTTGCAGCCTTTAATAGTATATTTTAATGTATTTTGAAAAATTCATGCTAAATTTAAAAAATTGTCTAATAAATTCTCTATAATCATATTGATATTTTGAGTTTTTTCAATGATACATTTCATTTGAAGTAACATATTCTATCTTTGCTAGAGAAAAACAGAAGAAAAACTTTAATTCTTAAGAAAAAATATTTTCAAGAGAATATAACCCTTTCATAGGAAGGTAATAACCATGAATGTGTCTAGACTACTCAGCAACGCATAAAGTTATGATAGGATGTATATTTAACAATTAAGAAAAGTCTTGGAAAATCATTAAATTAACGAATGACATATCTAATTAGCTATTTGATTTAAGTTTACTTTCTCATCCCTGCCTCAGTGACCCATTGATCTAAATTCCCTGGTGGATTTATTTGATTACCATTTATTTTCAAAGACTGAAAAGTTTCACCACAGTGAGTGCACCATGTGTTGCTATATACACTTATTGACCCGACACTTCAGGATTGTCCAGTATGCACTGCCGTTTGTGTAGCAGCCATCCCATAAAGAGGTGAGCAACAATGTCTGCAGACAAGGTTATCTGTAAAAATCTTCTAATATATGTAAAAAATACTAAAACAGAAGCATGAGAAGCACAGGAACACAGAAAAGTCTCAATCCCAGACACTAAAGAGCACAGTGAGTGAGCAGGTACTGACTGAAAGGACCCCACAAGGCAGAACTGAAGCCCTGAACGTTTACACTTCTTAGCTCAGACTCCATTTAAAAAATATTTTACTTCAAATTAAAATTAAATGGTTCATGAAAACATGCTGATATTATTCTCAACCATTAAAATATATATCCACAAAGAATTTTAAATGAGAAAATGCTTATAATTACATGAATTATAAAATGGAAAATTATAGACTCAGGAGAATATCAACTGTGCAAGCGTATTTATAACAAGTGCAAATGAAATACTAGGATACTACTTGAACTTTCTATGACTGTTAGTTATTC